AAAACGCTCCTCGGTACAGGCGGCGACGCTCGCCCCGCGCGACTTTTACAAGCGGACGTACCGCCACATTGCGCCGCTCGGTGCGGCTCCGAACCACCGGGAAAGCGCCGAGCGCACAGGCGCACAAGACAGCGACAGCGACGAGAGCGAGTCGTCGACCGAGCTTCCGGGCAGAATCGCAGGCGACGAGCGGCTCAAGTTACCAGCCCTCGGCGCGGCGGAGGAGCAGCAGACGGCCCTGCCGAGCCTGAAGGCGCTGACGCGGCGCGACCCGAGTCCGGCCCGCCACCCCCCGGCCAAGCGGCACACGGACGACACGCTCATCCACGGCGTGAAGCGGCTCGAGCTGGACGACAGGCGGCGCGGCGAGTCCCCCGCCAGCTCCGAGCCCGCCGCAAACGACGTGCAGGAGATGCGCCGAAGGCATGCGGCGCTCATCAAGGCGTGGCTCGTTGCCGTCAACCTCGAGTTTAAGAAGAGGAGCCTGGATAAGGCCCAGGTGCCCCTCCCCGTGGCGGCTGCCGCGTGAGCGACGCACCGCGCGGCCGCTAGGCCGCAAGGTGCGGAGCAGGCGTGAACATCTCGTCTCCCTGTAGTCCAGCCAAAGACGGCCCCGCTCGACGCGGTCGCCGCATAGTTTTCCTTTCGTTATCCCATCCTTTCTCCCAAAGCATAGATTAGACTCCTCATTTCTCTCCCCCCCTGTTTGTACCAGTATTTAACTCGTATCGTATCCCGTTGAAAGTGAAGCCGTTAACGGTGAAAAGGTGACTCGAAGTGAAAACATTTCTCTGATGGACGATCGATCGATGATCACACCGTTTTTTTGTTGCATTGCTATCACTGATTCTGGTGCTGTCTGAAATGTGAGAGTGGGGGGAGAGGATGGGCAGGATGAGACGATGTTGTCGGGCTTGGTGGAAGGAGAGGGGAATGGAATGGAGGACGAAAATGCCACTCAAACCTGGTGGCAACTCGTAGGTCTCCTCGTCTGACTAGACCCGGGCATGTCCTAAAGCTCCCGCCGTTCTGGCCCTCATTACCTCATTACACAAATGAGACATCCAAAAGCCCGTCTGCCCGTGCCCCACGTCCATCAGTGTCAGTGTTCGAATGCATGTCTCTCGAAAGCCGGGGAATGATAAGAGCAAGAAAGCTGGCGCGGGGTGGGGTGGGGTGGTCAAAAAACCAACCGGCGCCAAAAAAGTCAAAAGGAATGTCGGGAAAGAGCCGGCTTTATGCCCACGAGGAATCGAACACAGTCAATGGACTCATCAATAACCTGGACCTTTATCCAGCTGCAATCCCACCCCACTAACCGTCACAGTGAGGGGTTTCCCGTGAAAGTTTGGGTGGGCTGGGTGACTATATACCACCTCTGGCAAATTACGTAACCAACCACCATATGAGAGAGGGACTGCCTAGGGTGGCCTGAAGTCTCTTGCGCCGACCACGACCTCTACGAGAGTGAGACGGGGACAAGCTATTGCGGCCTGGTACTGCAGGGCCATGGTTATATTTGAGTCGTCAGGACCAGTGCCGGCCGCGAGTACTGTGCTAGGAGTAACATATTGATAGAGCCGATGGCAGAGGCCGGCAGAGGCGGCAGAGATATGAAGGTGGGTGGTTGAAGACCTCAGGCACGGTGCCAGTGTTCCAGGGGCGGAATCAGGTCCCCACCCAGTACCCAGTGTTGCCCAGCTCGATCGCAGACGGACGACGGACGCGTCGCGGACTCCGCCGTCTCAGTACTCAGTACTGCGACTTTCAGGATCTTCCAGCTGCCAAGTCAAGTGTACGGGCCTGCGCACTGTCCATCATCCTACACCAGTGCACAGATTGTGTCTGTGCTCTTATACCTTTCACACTTCCTTTACCACTCTTTTCTCCCTCTAGTAGCGATACGGCAGCGATACGGCAGCGACACGGCACTCGCGGTACTTGGTATCACGGCACACGGCCCCCGCAGCAAGTCCCGACGCTCAAACCTCGCGCCGATCTGCGGCCTTGGCGTTGTGCTGGCCTTTCGACTTCGTTGAACAACAACGTTTGACCAACCCTTCAAGTTTGAAACTCTGGACAGACCTCGGACATACGACTTGCGCTTTTCTGTCCGCTCTTGGACAACCCGGTGTGGACGTTTCATCGATCCACGGTGATAGGAACACGCAGTTGGTGCCCGACTATAGCCAGCTTTTGCCGGACTGGCTCGCCGACTGAGCTCTGACTGAGCTCCGACTGCGCTCCGACTGAGCACGTCAACGAGCTGGACTGAGTCCTCTTGGGCTGCTTTCGAAGCAACTGAGTGATCCAGCGAGAACGCAGCCGCCTGATCACCACCTCCCCCCCCCAACCACACACAAGCTCCTCCGACATGAAGACCCCAAGCGTCCTCTCCGGCCTGGCGCTCCTGGCCGTGCACCTCGTCATCTCGCCGCGGAAGCGCCTCCTCTCCTCCGCCGACGACCTCGATCTGCACCACGCAGCAGGCGACGGGGACCATTCCGGCCACTCGGACTCAGGCCACACTCCCGTGTTCCGGCATGTGCACGAGGCGCCCCTCCTCTCGGTCCTGGGCGGCATCGGTCTCGTGTTGTTGGGCTACTGTGCCGCCCAACTGATCTCAACGTTCCGCTCGAACCAGCAAAAGCAGGCGAATGGGTTTGCCCGACTGCGGGAGAAGGAAGCCAAGCAGGAAGAAGAGGACAGGGGATGGCTCCGTGAGGCGGCGAGGTTGGCTCGGCTCGCGCTGCTGGTCCTCTGTGTCCGGAATGTAGGGCCGGTGCGTACTGGAGTTCTCTTGCTCGCGCGCGGGATTCTGGGGCGAGATTACGGCCTTGCGCTTGCTGTCGGCGCCGTGGCTCTGAGCCAGGTACAGCGCGAGTCGAGGCTGGTCGGCTGTCTCGCGCTAGCCGGCGTGTCGGCGGCGGAATCCCTGCTCCCTCGCTCTGGGAGCCGTCTCCCCGTCCTCTGTGCCGGCGCGGGCCTCGGGCTGCTCCTCTTCCTGGCCAACTTGAAGCTCGACATGCTCCTCCTCCCCGTCCTGGCGCTGTCGGGCTTCCTCCTCTCCAGCTCGCGCTCGACGCTCCTCGCGTCAGCGGCTGCGTCCATGGTCCTCTCGCCCTTGCCGAGCTCAGATCTGCTGACGCTGCTCCCCGCGCTCATCTCGATCCGCAAGTCCTCCCTGGCAGCGTGGCGCGCCCATCTCTCCGCGATCCTCCTGAACCAAGCCTCGCGCAAGATCTTCTACTTCCTCCTCCTGAACCTGTCGTACATGTTCGTGCAACTGTTCTATGGGCTGTACACGAACTCGCTCGGCCTGATCAGTGACGCGATCCACATGCTCTTCGACTGTCTTGGCCTCGGCATCGGCTTGTGGGCCAGTGTGGCAAGTACGTGGCCCGCGGACGCGCGCTATACCTTTGGCTATGGACGCGTGGAGACGCTGAGCGGCTTCGGGAACGGCGTGTTCCTCATGCTCGTGTCCGTGTTCATCATCTTTGAGGGCGTGCAGAGGGTGTTCAACCCGCCTGAGATGGAGACGAGGCAGCTGTTGTTGGTTAGCAGTGTGGGGCTGGGCATTAATCTGTTTGGCATGTGGGCGACGGGGGGACATCATCATCATGGCCACGGGCACGGGCACTCGCATGGGCATGGCCACGCGCACGCGCACGCGCACGAGGTGCATGAGAAGAAGACGGATGACCATGGACACGGGCATGGCCACGGGCATGGCCATGGACATGGACACGGGCACGGGGCCGAGTGTAATGGGCACGACCACGGACACGGCAATGGCCACGCGCACTCGAACGGTCAATCCCACCAGAGCCACGACCACGGTCACGACCAGAGCCACTCTCACTCCCACTCTCACTCCCACTCCCACTCCCACTCCCACTCCCACGGGCACAGCCACGACCACGCGCACAGCCACAACATGCACGGCGTCTTCCTGCACGTGCTCGCCGACACGCTGGGCAGCGTCGGCGTGATCCTCTCCACCCTCCTCATCCGCTACACCGGCTGGACGGTCTGGGACCCTTTGGCCTCTTTGTTCATCGCGCTCCTCATTCTCGCGTCCGTGACGCCCCTCGTGCTCGAATCTGGGCGCGTCCTCGCACTCGACATTGGCGACGACGCCTCTGTCCGACGCGCATTGACAGAGCTGAATACGTCTGGAGTCGACTTCTCAGCGCCCAGGTTCTGGCAGGACGTCAATGGCCTCCGTGGGTCTTTGCACTTACAGCTCCAAGGGAGTAGGTTGGGGGTCGATAGAATGAAGGGCAAAGTGAGGCAGGCGCTGGAGCCGCTCGGTCTGAAAGAACTCGTCATCCAGGCCGAAGGCGACAGGTTCTGTGATTGCATGACGGGATAGATGGTATAGAGAAAGATGCATTATGTTTGTTCTAGTTTGGGGTTGTCTCTACGCTACTCTTACGTCGGAGTTGGCGGAAGAGTTGTGCCGATCCGCAATGTCCCTCGGGCGTGTCGTCTTGAGCCACGACGACCACCACGGAGACTCTCTGCTGGTAACTCGCGGCCTCGCAGCTGCGCCGCTCGGCCGCTACTGATACTGCCTGTTCAGCCAAGCGCTGAACTGGTCCTTGCAGTGAAGATGCGTGACCTGGCCCCTCGGCGCATGCACTGCAATGGCGCTCTGGCCCAGCCGCTTGTGGCATTGGGGACACACTCGCTGGTCGTCGACTTTCACCCGCCGCACCTCCAGGTTCAGCACCATGCCCTTGACCTGCACGTTGCGCGATTTCACGAGCTCCTTCTGGATCCGGTGCGCGGCGAGTGCAGAGTGCGTCGCCTTCAGCTGCTTGCTGAGGTAGGTCTGCACGTCGGAGACGGAGATCATGGGCGGGAGCAGAGAGATGACCGCGTCGCTGTCGATGCGCAGGCCGTGCCGCGTTATCAGCTCGAGTGCGGGTTTCACTAACGGCTCGGCGGAGAGGCCGGTTGGCGGGGAGGCGACGGGTGGCGAGCCAGGACGCGAGGTGCCGCGTGATGATGGTGGTGGCGAGAACGTGCGCCCAGACATCGATGAGCGCCGTCCGGGCGTCGGCGCGAGGTACAGCTTCAGCAGGTGCAGGTAGATGCCCTTCGGATCGGGATCCTTTGCGTACACTTTGGAGCAGTACGCCTCGGCTGCTTGGTAGTCCCCCAGGTCGTACACGTAGATCCGCAGAGCCGCGTCGTGGTTCCCAAGACGGCCCTGCAGCAGAGCCCGCGCGCGAGGCATTTCTGAAGTCAGCTAGGGATCCTGCTTCATAAAGCTTACCATCTCCTCGGAGCTGGCTTAAGATGCGGTACGCGCGGTAGCGTGTTGATGTCGAAAGGAACTCGAGCAGCTTGCCGAGCGCCTTACCCTCGACCTCTTTCTTCTGCTCCTTTTGCGCCTCACGCACACTCCGCAGCAGCAGCTCCGCCAGCTTGTCGTGCAGGTCCGGGCTCTGCTCGCCTAACGCGATGACGTGCTCGAGGTACTTGACCGCGCTCGGCCAGTGCTCTAGCTCGAGGAACGCCGTCACCTTTGCTCGCGGCAGAGCGTCGACCTCGGGCTCGTCGGCGGTGAAAATCTGCAGCGCGCGTTGCGGGTCCTCGCGGAAAATCCACTTTGCAGAGGCAAAGATCAGGTCGAGGTGTGACGGGCCGAGCTTCTCGAGGTAGCGTATCGTCGGCGGATACCGGTCGAGCGGATCGTCCTCTGGCTGTGCTTGCCTTTGTGTCAGTTGGAATACAGACGAAGCAACTTACTCATAGAGCATACTGAGAGCCTTGTCGTGCATGTTCTTCTGCATGTAGAGATCACGGAGGTCGTCGATGCGCTGGGGTCAGCTGAGCACGTCACGGCGTAAGCTCACTCCTTTCTCTCGCAAGAGAGGTTCCACCTCGGCGACGTCGCACCAATTCTCAATGCGACACAGACTTCCCACGAGCGTCGGACGCGCAACGAGGTACACCTTCAGCAAGCTAGTGTACACCACCTGTGCCGTTCGGAGTAACTGCTCAGCGTTCAACTCGGTCATCGGCACGTCCGGCAGCTCGTGCACCTCCTTCGCCGGCATGTCAGACAGCGGCACCATGTCCGCTTCCGAGGGCAGCGGCTTGCCGAGAGCGGGGATGGCGCCGGCCAGCTTCTGTCTTCTGTCTGACAGGAAGTAGATGAGCTCGTCGATCGCCGCCCGCGAGATCTCGGTGCTATTCCCCGGGACGTCCTTACCGACGATGGGGGCATCTGGCGTCGGAGAACGGTCATCCTTGGCCGTGCTCGCCACAGAGCGGATAGTCTCATTGCTCTTCTTCCTAGAGAGCGACAGGTGTGCGTTGAATAGCGATTTCGGCACCGACGTCCCCGGCTCTGGCGCTGACTCTGGCGGCTCCGGCGGTTCTAGTCGAGCACCCTCAACGGCGCCAAATAGCGACATCCAGTCTTCCCGAGGGACATACAGGTTCCCCGAGACAGCCTGTTGCGGGTAGAGCGCAACGACCTTGGCCGGGTGAACGTTCTGGGCGATGAATGTCTCGATAGCAGGCTGGTACTCTCCACGCGCAAACTGTGAGACCGCCTGAAGGACGCGAAGGTGGGAGAGCTTTTGCGTCTGCTTGTTAGCTAAGCACGCGACATGCTAAGCTTCACTTACAGGAGCCAACTTTGCGTCACCCGATGCCTCCACTAATCCGATCGCGTCAGCCACTCGTCCCTCCTTGACGAGCTCGTCGACTGCGTCCCCAACGTCTCCTGTCCGCATCTCCCACACGGTACTTCCTTCGCTGTTCAGCTGTGTCTTGTCCGTCGGAGTTGAAACCAGCAAGACCTTCGGCTCTCCCAAAGAGGGCCCTTGCGGTCCTGCCTTCGAGCTAACACTGATAGCGGAGACTGTCAGACCGCCGGCGGACGGAGCCGGGAAGGCCACAATATTTCGCAGGGCGAGCGTCGGCGCGAGGTGTACGCGCACTGATGGCAACGGCGGAGTCGAGCTCGAGCCCACGCTAGCCGCGGCAGGCAGGACCGAGTAGATGTACGGGTTGCCGAACGCGAGCAAGTCCGGCGTCGCGGGCCACTGCAGCGACTCGCCCCTCGTGAAGCGTCCTTCTGACGAGAAGAAGACACCAAGGTCTGCTTGTCAGCTGCGCCACATCACCTCAAAGCTTACCATCTCGTGCCAGAAGCACCTCTCCGCCTACTGTTCTCGTTCCAGCAGGGATAGCTGCTTTGCTCAGCATCCCTCCGAAACCAGTGAAGGCGCTGCCGAAGCCGCCTCCAGCCTCGTGGCCCGGCTTAGCATCCGACGGTCCAGCAGTGGGCGGGTAACCAGTGGTCGGTAGCTCAGTCACGGACAGGCGAGAGGCCGCTGCCGGACCATTCGAAATGTGGAGGAGCACGCTGGACTGCGGAGAGTAGAGCAGGTGCACAGTGTCGGGCAAGTCGGCGTAGAAGGGAGCCGGAAAGATGACAGTTCTCGGGCTATGAGGAAGCGAGAGCTCCCAGGCCTCGCCCAGATGCTTCCCGGCACCGTAGACCAGCACCTTTTTCCGACATCCGATGACGAGCAGGTCCTTCGAGACCTTCCCTGGCGTACCTCCGTCCTCCTTAGCCGGACCAGGCGCAAAGTACGTCGTAGTGGCGAACGCATGTGGTGTTCTGGCTTGCGATAGTGTCGTCGTGCATCCCTTCCCCATCAAGTTGCCCAGCTTGTGGAGCGTCACAGTTGAGTCTGTATGTCAGCTACGGTTGCCGATGCGCTAGCTCACCAGTCAGGACCACGAGCTGCTTGGCTTCTGGCAGAACGCCGATTTGGTCGATCTGTCTCCGTCCAACCTGGTGCGTCTCAAGCAGCTTAGGAGACTCGTCTTCGAGCTCCGCTAGGGAGTAAACGCGCAGAGACCCATCGGCGCAGCCCGCGTACAGTTGGTCGCCTGAGGGTTGTTAGCTCTGGAGCACGAACAGGTCTGAGCTCGTTCAACTCACCATGCTGGTGTAAGGCGGTGATACGTGTCTTGGTCCCTGTAATGAGAGGGTGCAGGGCATGGCTGCCCATAATGCCGAGCGTCGATGCAGGAGGTGAAGGATGGTCGCAGGATGGTAGGAACAAGCCGACATTGAGCTTCGAGGTCGCGGAACGCGGTGGCCAGGTGGAGGTTACCGGAACCGGGCATGACGTACCTTCCTTCCCCAGATCTCGTGGTACATCTGTGGCAACAGTGGCCAAGGCGACTTTCATCAACACACACTCGCTGTCTCCACCGACGAGATCAACGAGCGCACTCAAAACGCAGAAAACCGATACATGCTTGCAGCTGCTCGGGTCCTCCCTGTTGTTTCTCGACTTCCTCTCCGTGCCACCGTACGTCTGGCATCCACTACTTCCGTCATGATGCCCATCGAGCCAAAGGACATCCCGACCGTTTCAAAGCAAGGTCTAGGGAAGCGGCTATCCATCTGGAGAGGTGAGGAAGCTGTGTGATTAAGAAGCGCAGCTAACATGCAGGCGACATTACCAAGCTGAAGGTACGCGATTGACGGGCCGTGGCTGCTCGAAGTGGAGACCGGCTGCGGAGACGCTCCCTTTGCTGACACGGCAGATTGACATGATCGTCAACGCTGCGAACAAGTCGCTTCTGGGTGGTGGTGGTGTCGACGGTGCGATCCACCGTGCTGCTGGACCTGATCTGTTGCGAGAGTGCAGGGGTCTCAGAGGTGCCGACACCGGTGAGGTGAAGGTGACCAAGGGATACGAAGTGAGTGAAGCTCGCGTGAGGCGAGGTCTTGCGTGTCGAGGGCAGGTAGGAAAGAGACTGCCGTTGTCGCAATGTCGCAGTGTCTTTCAGGGTTTCCAATGCCCATCCCCCATTATCTTTCCTCGCTCCTCGCGCGCCGCATCGGCCGCTCCAGTTTATGAACTTCGGCGTGAACTGATCCCAGCTCCCCGCCAAGTACATCGCGCACGCCGTGGGGCCCATCTACTCCGAGTCAATGAAGGAAATGTGCGCGGCGCAGCTCGAGAACTGCTACAGGTCTGCGCTGGAACAGTGCTCAGACATTGGGTGCACGGAGATCGCCTTCCCGAGCATCAGCACCGGTATCTGTGAGTACTCCTGTGATCCGCGTTGTCTCCAGGGTTTGTCACAAATGCGGGCAGACCATGCAGACAATTGCAGCTGTGCGTGTTCGAGCAACGTAGCTGACGATTCAGACGGCTATCCCATTGAGGACGCGACCGAGATCGCGATCGAGACGACGAAGGACTTCCTGGAGAAGGATGATAAGGTGAGTTCGACAGGAGTTGTTCAAACTGACAGGCAGGTGAAGCAGGTCGTGTTCTGTGTGTTTTCGCCCGAGGACGAGGAGGTGTACAAGAAGCTCGTCAAGAGCATCGTCCCCACGAACGATGCGTGAGCGTGAAGGTGAAGTGGGCAGACTGTATAGTAGCATTATGTTAAGTCAAGCTGTGAAGTGTCCTATCGTCGGCTCGAGTTAGGGGATCTTCAGGCGCCGGGCTGACGAAGCCACTCCAAGGCAAGGACTGCATGGTACTGAGCGGACGGGCGGCTACAGCGACTCCTCGATACCAAGCGCTCATAGAGGTGAGTTTCACCTCGATCTTACAAGTCATAGCCTTCAAGAGGGCACGGGAACAGCGAATGCAGCTCCAGGTCGACGAAAAGATGACACTTTGTGACCTAGCAATGGCAACGTCAAGCGCGACGCCGTGGAAGTGTTTCGGGCCTGCCTCGCAGTCGTCGCCGCTGAGTGTTTCAGGACACCTCGGCAGTCGGCTTGCATCCTAGTCGGCCGAGTCGGGGAGTCTGCGAATACTTCAGACGTGTGACAGACACTGAAGCGGGTCTGACTGTTCACTGCGACGGCTCCACCGACCCTCGCCGCCGAGTGTCAAGAGTGTTACAAGTGTCAGGACGCTTGCACTCGGACGGCGGTGCGGCGTGCACCGCGGAGAGGCAGTCGCACCCATTCCCAATGCCGCGACGAAGTTCGAACACGAAGATGCATAAGAACCCCGTGTCAGACGTGTCAGTTCTGTAACGAGCGTACGAGCGTCAGAAGTATCAGTTCTGTTACGTGTGTCAGTGGTTCCCAGTGACATGGAAGGAAGTTGTGTGTGGCACGGGTAAGGCGGACATCCAACCCAACATACCACACACCTGTTACCCTCCCTTAGTCACTGTTTCGCATATCTTGGAGTCATGCATATGCATGCATGATCATGCAAGTCACAGATCAGTGACACATGTATCAGCAAGAAGAACCAACGCACGTCCGCGAATCGAGGGGGGCTGAAACCAAACCTCAATCCGCCACCCCTCCCCCCCCTTCGCGTTCATGTTTTGCGGCCTGCCTCTCTTGGCCGTGCGTCTTCATGGACACGCGGAGTGTCACATGCCCAAACCCATGCATGCGCGCTGCGTGCGTGCACAGTGTAATGCGTCAGAGGCTGAATCGTCGTCACTTGAAGCGTCGAAAACCGTCGTCGGAGGCGTAAGTGATGAATGCGCCGCAAGGCCGTGAATTAGTGCGCCGAGCGCGCCGAGAAAACCACTAGCGTCGCCGCTAAGTGCTAGTGTATCTAGTGTCGTCGATCGGCGCTAAGCCGCAGACGCCGCTACTCCTTTGGTCGTCTGTCAACTGAGACGACAAGGCTCCTTGCTCTTGGCCGCTTGGGCATGTGTTTCCATCGGAACAGGAAGCTGTGCTGGACCAGCGTGCTGGTCGCCCACTCGCCCGCCGCTCACCTCCGCACCGACGTCAGCAGGTACAAGTCCGAGTCCCACATGGCTCGGAGCGCCGGAGCACCATCGCTCGACAGCGAGATCGACGCAACAGTCGCGTGCAGCGGCTGACGCAGGTACGCATGACTCAATTGCGTTGAGCCGGTGCATCCACATACAGTTGGGCAAGAGGCACGAATAGAACCAAGGAGCTTTTCTGACGTCACCAGGCACGTTGGAGGCACACGGAAGGCACGGAGCTCACCCAAACTCCAACTCCCAGTTCCCTTTCCAATGTGGAGAGCGATCGGCTTCTCCGTTTGCTCTGAGGGCAGCTCATCCGCTCCGCTGGCCCTGTAGACGTCCACGGGCGTCCACTGCCGCGCTGCCGCAGTAGGTCGCGACGACTGGTGCCGCTCTAGGGCCACGAATGCCGATCCCTCCGTGGGCCGTGGACCGTGGGCCGTTACGAGGGAGGAGTAAGAGGAAAGTGCACACGACCAACTCCCAACGTCCCACAGTTCCTAGAGTGGAATGCCGCTCAGTGCCGCTCGGCGAGGCGGGCGGAGGGCGAAGCCCTGCGGAGTCCTTCCTCCTACCTCCTACCCTTCTACCCTTCTAGCTCGACTGCAGAGTGGAAAGGACGCAAGGGTTGGGAGGGATGTACCGAGAGACCGCCCCTCCCTGTCAGTTCAGTTCAGTCTTACGTATGAATGGGGAGAGAAATCCGAATACCTTTGTGGCTTTCGCTCGGTCGCTCGGGCCCCCCTCATTCGGTGCCGGGAAGCGATGCGCAGCGCATGACATGCACCATGCCAGAAATGGGGAGCACGGGGGCATGGGGCGGGGAGCATGGGAGAGCCCTTGCGGTGAGGTTTGTGCGGTGAATAGTCTGCGTGGGCCGTGGAGCTCAGCCTGAAGTGCATCAAGGTGCGGCTGAAAGGTTACGAGACAAAACCTCGGAGCCGCCTACGCCAGTGTCGAACTGTGTCACCGCATGCAGTGCGCCGAGTCAGTGGAACAATGGGAGCAACGCCGTCCATGCGCGCCGTTCCATGCGCATACAGGTGACCACGGGACCCCGGCGGATCCCCACATCTCCAAGCCTGCTTGCCCACTCTGCTCCACGTCGCTGATGACGACCAAAACTGAGAATAGCAGCACCTGACATCTGAAGAGGCGGTGTGGCTGAGGAATGTGTGTCTGGATGAGCGACTTTATTCCCCGACTCTGTGCGTTGTACGCGGCGTATCAAATCGCGCATTAACATTGACGATACGATCCAGTGCAGGCCAACGGGGTGATGGGCCAGTGGGACGCACTGGTCTTATCGCAATGACGACTTCTCTAGCGGCCACGTAGAGTTCGTCTCGATGTCAGGTGTTGAACTAGCCTTTGCGTGGAGCTCATGCAAGCAGCCGAGTGGAGCCGGACAGGAGCGGGTCCGGTGGGTCCGGCGTTTCGGCCAGCCTCATCTGCTGCAGCGCGCCAGCGGCGAAACAATGGCGAACGTGTGAACGTTCCAGCACGCAGAAACAAGACAGGAGCCACAGGAGACAGAAACCCCTGCCCGCTCTCTGAACTGAGCGGCGAAGTGAAGCCGAGAGCGACATGTCACCGCCCGCCCGCCGCTGTACCACTGTGTGCTTGGCAAGCCACTAGTCATATAGATCGAACGTGCATGTCCCAATGTCCCGTTGGAGTGGGCTGGCGTAGCTGGCGTAGCTGGCGCAAGCTGGCGGGTACGGTCCCGAAAGCACGCAAGAAATGCTTGGCCAAGCGAAGTGGTAGAGATAAGTCTGATTCCACCGTCCGGTGCGCGATTTGCTTACTCGCATGCCCCGGCAACACATACATACACTGCAGCGGGCATGAGGGGATCTCGGGGACGAAGGCGTGCGCCTAACTGCGAGTCTGCGAGTCTGCGAGTCTGGACAGTTGTGTCAGTGTGCACAGTGTGCAGGTCTCGGTGTTCTGGATCCCGAAACGAGTCGACCACGGTCGAGACATACAGGTACACAGACACGAGATGAGATCTGCCTCATGCCTCGGACGCCCGCGCGTGCCCATGCCTGGTGCCCGCCAGACACGAGTACCTCACGACCGGGCTACCCGGGCTGCAATGTAGGCATGTTAGAGCCTCCCTGCTAAGCAGCTAAGCATAAGTCTATCCGGCGATGGGCACCGGTGTGTGTGGGCTGCGCTGGATGTCTGCTGGAGATAACGTTGGTCATGTGCAGTCTTGTGCGGCCGCGGGCGCCATGTTGAACCGTCGCACAGCGCGTACGCGCGTACAGGCTGTGAAGCCTCACTTCCGAAGCGGCAACGCAATCTGTGCGTACAAGCGCATTGCACGAGCGTTAGACAGTGGAGCAGGCCGAGCAGGAGCACTTAGACTCAAGCGGACTCAAGCGCGCACTTCGAGCCAAAGCAGGATCGCAGGATGTCACGCCGTATCACCTGTTGGGCTATGAAACGCGGGAGTCCAAAGCTGGCCTATGGTGCGTTTCGTGCGGTTTCGTGAGGCCAAACAATCACTCCCTCCCAACGAACACTAGTGCACCGAGTCCCCTCCGAGCCTCCGAGGGTCTCCTTCCTCCGTCCCCGCCGAGCTGATGTGATCGGTGGTGTTCGGGTCAGACTTATCAGACCTATCTGAAGCGCACACGCACTCAGTGGGTGCCATCTTTGGAACGCTTCGTGGTCATATGATCATATGCATCCCCATCCGACGAGACGCAAAAGTAGCCGAAGTGCACATTGACGATCACGAAATGAATGCCCCGCTTCCCCGTTGGTCCCCACAATGGCAGCGGTGGACCCTCCAGTGCCTATTGAGCTGCAGCACGCTGCATGCGCTGCAGACGACCCAAACAATTCGTAGCACCGAGACCCACCAAGACTGAAATGCAGGTAGGAAAGGCAGGAGGGCAACGGCGCGCGAGGGCAGGGGCAAATGCCGATTGCGCGATTGCGCGATTCCATCGGTCAACTAAACCAGTTAAGTTGTGGCCGTTCCGGACGCATTGGCGCAGTCGTGTCTGTGCCGGCGTCGGAGGCGGACGCGAGACGAGTATGCGAGGTCATGTGAGAGATTCACACGACGCACTTGCGCAGGGGCCCTCGGACCTGGGACCTTAGGCTCTGGCGAGGTGTCGGCGACGGCCGGGGGTTGTGCCCCAGAGTATGCACGTCTGCTCGATCACATCGGAGTACTCGGACTTGCACACGGGGTTCGGATACATACTCCTCGCCAGAGCCACACATCTGTCAGACGCAGTCGCAGTCGACTGCAGATGAGCTAGATGAGATAGATATTGAACTCGTACATTCAGATCTCCAGATCGCGCAGTCTCTGCTTGGTCTGCTTGGTACTGCTTGTGTTTCTCTGCATTCCACCATAGTTCATTGCTGTGCACGAACAAGTGCAAGCCACGTCCCACTTGAATCTCATCTAGATGGCTGCACAGCTGCAGACGCTGGCACATGCCATCATTGACGCATGCAACGCAGGCAACGCAGGCTACGGTGTCATCGCGGCTGTTGCTGGATCCAGCGTTGGGGGTGGAATGATTGCGTCATGCTGGCTGGTAGTGTTTGTGGACTGAGGAGTCAGTAGTATCCGCTCGCCCTGTGCCGTGCGCCGCCATGCCGGAAGCCGGAGCCGTGGCGCGCAAAGGCCGTCGAGTTTGCGGGATCAGATCGGTGGGCAGCCAATTCCAGATGGACGAGGGGCTCACGAATCTCGCTCGCATCAGGCGACGACGTGTTGTTTGACCACTGGAGGAGATGGGACTACACTCCGTGTGTTGGTTGAGGGATTAAGGGCAGGCGTTGTGGCCAATGGGAAGAGAGAGCGCTCGACTCCGAGACTGGACGGCGAAACGGGACCTAAAAACAGCTACGCCCAGCATGCCCAGCATTCGTGCTGCCCATATGCCAACGGATTCAGGTCCCACCGTTGTGCCTGACGCTTGGGGCGTAAGACGCAGAGGCGGCAATGGCGCTGCTGGCGGCCAATACAGACACAAAGAGGCCATTTTGATCCCGGGTGGTGGTTTAATTCAATTTTTTCCTATTCTTGTCGCTAATCGCCCATCAGCCTACTGGGTGGCGAGGGGTGTGGTTGCGCTGTCTCGCTGTCTCGCTGTCTCGCTGTCTCGCTGCTGTCGCCAGGGACAAACCACCCGGGCGGCCAACTGTCCACTCATCCCTGGCTCTTTCCGGCCGCTCACGGCACAAAGCACCTCTCAAATCTTACCCCCTGCTCCCCTCCTCCCCTTAGCAAGGGGACAGGGCCCCTGTCGTTTTCTCCCATGCTACTCGATGGACTCGTGTTGCGGCCTCTACATGCTCTACAGGTGTGCATCAGAGCCTGAGCCTGAAGCCTACTGATGCACTCTCCCTCCCTCCCCTCCGGTACTAGCCGCAACGTGAGCAGGCCAGCAGGCAGTTAACGGGGCTTTATTTGTGTACATTGTCGAGAGGCGAATTCGACGCCCCCTCCGACCGACCGTATCCACCCTGGACCCGCAGACCCGCAGACCCGCAGACCCCTCGCACACCCTCCCACACTCACACTGAGCGACCGAAGCCCTGTATATACCGACACCGGCCGGGAGCAACGCCGTCCATGCGCGCCGTTCCATGCGCATACAGGTGACCACGGGACCCCGGCGGATCCCCACATCTCCAAGCCTGCTTGCCCACTCTGCTCCACGTCGCTGATGACGACCAAAACTGAGAATAGCAGCACCTGACATCTGAAGAGGCGGTGTGGCTGAGGAATGTGTGTCTGGATGAGCGACTTTATTCCCCGACTCTGTGCGGTGTACGCGGCGTATCAAATCGCGCATTAACATTGACGATACGATCCAGTGCAGGCCAACGGGGTGATGGGCCAGTGGGACGCACTGGTCTTATCGCAATGACGACTTCTCTAGCGGCCACGTAGAGTTCGTCTCGATGTCAGGTGTTGAACTAGCCTTTGCGTGGAGCTCATGCAAGCAGCCGAGTGGAGCCGGACAGGAGCGGGTCCGGTGGGTCCGGCGTTTCGGCCAGCCTCA